TTTTTTTTCCCCTGAGGATGGTTATTTTAAGAACAGCTCCTGTACAATGTGTCTGGCGAGGTGAATAGAGTTTGACAGAAGTTGATTTGCTTTTGCTCCACATTTATTCCAGGTGTTTTGGATATAAGCTCTACTCCTGGAACTCCTGCAGACCCTCCAGGGAGAGCAGGAAAGAAGGCAGAGCATAGCAATTTATGTGTATGCATAAAAATACACCTTAAATTTAAATTTCAGCTTGAACTTTTTTGATTCAACCTAAACTATGTGCAAGACAGGGCTGAGAGCTGAGGTGCCTGAGGAAGAAGCAGCCCTGTTGTCTATAGTTTTACAGATTAAATCAAGATTTGAGAGTGAAAATTCTCCCTCTCAGCCTCTACTTTGAGCTGCAAACAGCATCTCCTCAGTGATGTGCTGTTAGCATTTCACTCTGGCTGTCTGTTCCCTGAGAAAGGATTGAGCTGGGATCTTACTGTGAAAAAAACCCAAAAAAACCAAAAAACAAAAACAACAACACAAAAAAAATCAACCACAAAAACCCACAAAAAAAACCAAACAAAAAAACCCCAAACCAAACAAAAAAAACCCCCAACAAACAAACAAAAAACAACAACAACAAAAATTCGATTTCCCTCTTGGTATAAATTTCCCTTCAGATTCAACCTGCAAATCTGAATAAAAGTGAATAAACTGAGCTTCTGCCCAGGAGTGATACAAACCTGGGCCAGAGCAAGGCAGGGATTTGGATTCTCTCCCAGCTTGTGCTATGTTACACAAAAAATGATATTGAGGGGTTGGAGCTTGGCCAGAAAGGGCAAAAAAAAACCTGGGAAAGGGCTGGAAAACAAATCCTGGGTGGAGCAGCTGAACTGAAGGGGCTCAGCCTGGAGAAAAGGAGACTCAGGGGGGACCTCACTGCTCCCCACAACTCCTGGCAGGAGGGGCAGGGAAAGGAGGAGAGGAAATGGCCTCAAATTTCATTCCTAATTGGATATTAGGAAAAAAAAATTCCCTGGCAGAGTGGTCAGGCTTTGGATGAGCTGCCCAGGGAGGTTTGGAGTCACTGGAATTGTCCCAGAGGAGTCTGGATGTGGCCTTGGGGACAGGGTTTGGGTGATGCTGGTGGGGCTGGGGTGGCACTGGGTGATCCCAAAGGGCTCTTCCCACCTTGATGATTGTGGGATTCAAGGAGAGCTGAAGTGGGAATTCACTCCGTGGCTGCAGCCAAGACACACTGGGTTTGTTTAGGAAATAAGAACCACCAGATTTAATGTGGAAAGAGCACGAGGTAGAAATGGCACAATTGATTTTTTTATTATTTAAGAGAGGTGTTGATTTAGTGCAGTCACTGAAGTCACTGAAAAATTATAAACATGAAACCTCCTGACAAAATCTTTGCCCTGTCAGTTTATGTCAATAAAACATGGATTTCCTTTGATCTCCTGCAGAAAGTGGCTCCAGTTGAGAGTTTTCTCCTGTAATGTGTGGAGCTCATCCATCACTGCCCAGTGCCCTCAGGCCTGTCTGGTTTGGGACAAGATAAGGGAGTATCAACTTCACAGCCTGATAATTAAAGCTTTTAAATAAGCTATGAAAACGCTGCCAAGATGACATTCCCAAAGAACCAGCTTTTAAAAATGGTATTGTCCAAAAAGTGCCACACTTGGGCAGAATTTGAAATGTTTGCAGTCAGTGATTCGAGTGATGGATTTAATGTTCTCTGGGACACTGGGAAATATCCCCCCCAAAAAAACTTTATGGATTTCTTGAAACAGTAAAAGGATCAGGTTTCTCAGAGAAGCTGTGGCTGCCCCTGGATCCCTGGAAGGGTCCAAGGCCAGGCTCGATGGGACTGGGAGTAACCTGGCAGGGGCTGAAATAATTTGTAATGTCCCTCCTAACCCAAACCATTCCAGAAATGGAAAGAATAAACATTATATTTCCAGCTCATTTCACTGTATGTTCTAGTGGATATCTATAATCCCAGAATTCAGGTTTAGAAGGCACTGCAGTGAAGGGTATTCAGGGGAAATACAAAGATAATCAATCCCAAATCAATTATACAAAAGGTAAAACCAATGCAATCTCTGTGCTGTCCACTAGATGATGCAGCTGTACTGCAGAGAAATTAGGAATTACAGTAGATCCACATCCAATTATAATACTATTTACTGTAACTGTATTACATTTTTAACAGTAAAAAGCATTTTCTTCAGAGGTATACCAGAGCTGTATTTAGATAAATAGTTCAAAATGTCATTTTCTTTCTGCTCTGAAAGTGAAACATGAAGGTTTGTGGTCTTTTATCTTAGTTTTCTTAGAATTTAACTTTGCTGTTGTTCCTCTCACAAGTTTCCTGATGGTATTCCTCTTGGAACTGTCACCCAAGACAGAGTTCAAATCATTGCCTGGACGATCTTGAAGGTTTCTTCCAACCTTGGTGATGCCATGAATTCCACTCTGATGGTTTAATTTGTGGGATTGCAGTGGAGCAATGTCTGTTCCTATGTTTTAATCCTTCAGAATTAGGGGCCTGATGGATCTTTGGCACAGATCCCTCTCAATAATTTCCTTGGATGGAGCAGACTGAAACATTTCCTCTGTCTGGGGGGATTTTGGAGAAGAGAAACATCAGGATGACTTCAGTGTGGCCTTCCAGGATCTGAAAGAGCTGAAAGAAACCTGGAGAGAGGCAATTTCCAAGGGCTGGAAGGACAGGACACAGGGAATGGCTCCCACTGCCAGAGGGCAGGGCTGGATGGAATTTTCATGGGAGCTTTCAGTCACCCAGACTTAGAGAGATCAATAATGATTCAATGAGTTGTTGCATGGGGCTGGAAGGAAAAATTACCCATAAAATATGAAATAATGGGATTAAACATTCACCTGTTGAGACTCCTGGAGCATCATCTGAGGAAATCAAGGAGGATAATTGGCATGAAACCCTTGGTGGATGGAGGGATTTGGGAGCCAGGATGAGCAGAGGGATGGAGCAGCTCTGCTGGCAGGAAAGGCTGGCACAGCTGGGATTGTTCACCTGCACAGGAGAAGCTTTGGGCTGAGCTCAGGGTGGCCTGGCAGGGCCTGGAGGAGCCCCAGGAAAGCTGGAGAGAGACAATTTCCAGGGATGGAGGGACAGCACACAGGGAATGGCTTCACACTGACAAGAAAGTAGGGTTAGATGGGAGATTGGGAACTGGGAATTATTCCCTGGCAGGGTGGGCAGGGCTGGGATGGAATTCCCAGATTCCCCTGGATCCCTGGCAGTGCCCAGGGCCAGGTTGGACACTGGGGCTGGAGCAGCCTGGGACAGTGGGAGGTGTCCCCATGGCAGGGGTGGCACTGGGTGGGCTGTGAGGTCCCTCCCAACCCAAACCATTCCAGGATGCCGGAGTTGGGCTGGAGCAATCAGCAGCTGAGCTCTGCACCCCTTGCAGACGTTCCAGAGGCTCTGGATGTGCCCCTTTAGAGCAGCTGGGGCTGCTCTGGCAGGAGCTGGCAGGGGCAGCTGGGCCCTCGTGCCCCCTGGCAGGCAGGGATGAGGGGACAAGGGACGCTCCCAGCACGAGGCCGGTGCCACTCCTGGCTGTGCCAGCCTGCCCGGGCTGGCATCCAGAGCTTGTCCAGAAGAAGCCAAGAAGGAACTGTGTGATAAATGGATTTATAGAAAATTTTTAAAGTTTAATAGAAGGTTTATATAGTGTGTACACAAGGTTTATATAGGTTTATATAGTGTGTATTCAAAATAAGATTATTCCAATAAGTATAGTTTGTTAAAACATAAGTTTATATAAATGTATTTAAAGTTGATATAATGAATTTAATATTATATTAATTATATTAATCATATCAATTATATAACTATATTCTATTAATAATATAATACAATATAATATAATATAATATAATATAATATAATATAATAAAATAATATAATATAATATAATATAATATAATATAATATAATATAATAATATTAGTTATATATAATACCATAATTAAGTTTATATACATTATTATAGTGACAATATTAGTAATAGCATTAGTAATTAGTATTATTATAGTATTAGTATTAGTAATAGTATTAGTAATAGCATAATATTATTTTATTTATTATATATAATTATAATATAATATCATAATTAAGTTTATATACATTAATTATGATAGTGACAATATTAGTAATAGTGCCTTGTGTACTTCACTGTACACAACAATCAATAAACAATAAACTTATAGTGTATTGTAATTAAGAAGTAATTGGCTTCTGATTGTGATGGCGTGAATGATAACATCTGTATTGTCTCACCCTTCTCAGGAGACTGAAAATAGAATAAAAATTTTTAAAATGCCTCTCAGTTACCCCATCTCTGGCTCAGAAAAAGGCTCAATACAACAGAATTTCAGGGAATTTGTGTGTCCTTCCTATGAAATAATCTCTCCATGGGCAGGGCTGGAATTTTGGGGAATTTGGGTGTCCCAAGGATGGAATTTCAGGGAATTTGGATGTCCTTCTCACGAGATGAGCTCTGCAAGGACAGAGATGCTTGGTGGGGCTGCTCTGGCCTGCAGAGGATGTTGGAGAGGGATCATGAGGGACCTTTTGGCATTTTTTGGCAGTGCTGGAGCCTTTTGGTTGTGCTGGTCCACCTGGGTGTGTCACTGCTCCTTGCACAGATGGATATGGACACAGATCCCAGGTGGGAAATCTCTCCCATTCCAGGTTTCTGTTGTATCAGTGTGTCCCAGAATTCCAGAATTTTTTGGGTTGGAAGGAACCTTGAAGCCCATCCAGTTCCACTCCTGGCAAGGGCAGGAACACCCTCCACTGGAAAAATCAGTCAGGGAGTTGTGGAGAGCAAGGAAAAAAAAAGGAAGAGAGAAACTGCACTGAAAAAAC